TTAACTTTAATTTCCCCATCCACTAAAACATATGTGCATAAGCTTCCTCACAATTTTACACCCAATTTAAGGACAGTGTCAGATCCTCTGAAGTCTACCTGTGACCCCTCAGAGTTTCCAAGCTAAGCACTCATACATAGTGCGCCTGTATGCCTTCTTATTCGCCGGAACTCTGTTTCCAAATGTATGGTCTTTAGGGACACTGAGTTCTCCGTTCTCTACGTAAGTGGGACAAGCCCCAGTAAGAGCTGGAGTCAATTTGCCGGCAGCTGTACGGAGTTTGAGGATCTGGATGCTGTCCTCTGTCCTGAAAATACTTGTTGCGTGGGTCAACTGGCGCTGTCCAAGGTACCAAATGTCGTAGCGCAGTGCTTCTCTAAGTATGGTCTATAGATCACCAGCATTAAAATTAATAGGTTTACATATTAAAACCCAGATTCCTGGGCTAAGCCATCCCAGAACTATGGGTCAAAAATTTTTTATGTATTTTGTTATGTATATGTGTTTTGTTTACTATGCAGTGCTGGGGATTGAACCAAACTACCTGCCCAGTCCTTTTGTTTTATTTTTTATTTTGAGACAGGCTCTGGCTAAATTGCACAGGGTGGGGTCAAACTTGTGATTCTTCACCCTAGAGCAGTAGTGGTGAAGATTTTAGAGCTTTCAAGGATGCAAACAGCCCACTATGGCATCCGTGCCATAGATTTGCCACTGTTGCCCTGAAGTATACACTGGCTTATGTCCTTTATTTTCAAACTCCAAACAGTCATCCTACCCCAGAAGAGCATGTCACTGTGTGCCCTGCCATCAGACTACTGTTCAACACTAGTATCAACTAGTTTCTTCTGACAAACTAACTCTGCATGAAAAAGTCGGTGATTAGAATATGTCCTTGTCAAGTACCAGTTGGGGTTTAAGATGACGGTGCATAAAAAGTGATGTAAATTGTAGGCAAGACCATGTAGGGACTATAAGGGGTGGTCTTCAGCCTGCCCTTGTCTTTCCAAGCCTTCCCTCCTCTCCCACAGAAAAAGTAAGAGGGATGCAAAGTGTGCCAAAGCGTAAGTAAGTTTATATGTGCAGAGGACAGCAGTACAAAGCCACTCCAAGGAGTTGGGGCCCCAGAGCTAGGTAACCACTGAATATGGGGCAGCAGTCCTGCTTTATGGAGTAAAAAGGTCCCAGGATCCATCTCATCCCTCCCAGGTGTCTGTTTTTGACTGGGTATCAGCTCTTTGCTAGGAGTCTATAATGAAAGTCTTGGGGGTAGGGTGTGAAAGGTCTCAGTTTTGCCTGCCTTTCTTGGAAAAGTTTAGGCAAAGAGAAACTTAGCCATTCTCTGAGTATAACTGGCTTACATGCTAACCACAGCACAGCCTGGGAGAAGAACCTTTCCATGGGGCTTCTTGAGACCCCCTGAACTGTAGTTGTGGGTGTAGAGCTTGGCCCAGAGGAGAAGGAAAAGACCAAAAGGCTACCACTTGTATCAATGAGAAAATTGACAGGGTCCCCATACACACTCATTAAATGAAGTCGGAGCTCTATAGGTTGATCAGGAGCAAGGGGAGCTTGAATTGTGATCCTCAGGGACCCTCATTGAGAGCGCTCCTGCCTTGGGTATTGGTTCTTCCAGCAATTTTCTGAGAGGACAAAGCCCAGTAGGCTTGCACTGAGGATAAGAGGACCCAACACATCAATTTCTCTATATTGAACATTTTGCCAAAATTATCTCAACCACAATTCCATGAAGCTATTATTGGTCTCATTTACACATGAGGACACTGAGACCGAGAGGCTAAGAATCTAACCATGCTAGTTAAGTGGCAGAGCTGGAGATGAAGAGCTCCTTCAAATTCCAGAACACTTGTTCTTAAGCAGTGCACCTATTATGTGCCTAGCACTGTGTGAACCTTACGCATGCTAACTCGTTGAAAATTCACAGTAACACTCTGACCTAGGAATTATTATTATGCCCATTTTACAGATAAGACCCAGGAGAGAAAGAAAACATGAAAAAACGTGGAGCTGGAACCAACCACATACAGTCTGGCCCCCAGAGCCTTGCTCTCTTTTCCCACATGCTGCATTCCTGTTTGAATCTAGGGATTCCCCTTTCAGTTAGGGTCAAAGGCTTCCCTTTCCTAAAGCCAGGCAAGCCACGCCCACATCGTGGGCAGCAGCCCAGGCTTTTCCCAGTGCTCCCACCAACCGTGTAGAAGCTCTGGCCAAGGAACTGCAGGAAAGCCTGGTCCCTCCGGTCCACCCACCCCGCAACAACCATCAGAAGTGTTGCAGTCTGATCCGCTGGAGTGCCCCTGGGTAGTGACAGCCCAGAGCTCCCAAGAGCCATCTGTAAAGAGATGCACCCTTAAAGGGAGGTCTCCAAAGGAAGAAGGGGCTCCAGACATTTTTCTTGGATAATTCCTGGGGGCAGGGGGAGGGGGGAATGAGGACAAGCGCTGCAGATGGTGATCTCCCCACCAATCAGCGCTCGGCTTTCTCAGCCTATCCGAGGCACAGTCTGTACTTGAAGGTCACTTGCTCCCGGCTTGGTGAGGCTCTTGGTGGCCCAACCAGGAGGACACGGTCTGTGGGCTGGGCTCGGTCCCCATCCTGGCTGATACCAGTACTGCAGACTGGAACTCCAGAAAGGCCCCGGCCTGGCATAGCAGCCACCATGGTGTTTTGTTTTGCCCCACACTAGAACAGGAGCCATTCAGACCCAGAAGCTGGCCTAGCATCCCCAGTGTCACACCTTGCCCTGCACAGATTGGTCCTTACTAAGAGTCCATGGAACTTTGTAAATATCCACATTACAGTTTTTACTGTGTTTTTATTTGTCCCTTATTAACAGAATCTGTACTTAAATATTTTGTATTATTTAAACTCTCATGTGGGTGTTTTTTTCAACTGTAAATAAGGGTAGTAGTGACACTACATAAAGTTGTGTGCATTAAGTGTTAATGCACTTCAGAGTGCCTTGCACGCACACAACAAATGTTCAAAAAAATGTGTGCCACAGTTGCTCTTCTGTGTCCACAGAAACATATAATAATGAACACTAGATGGTGTCGAGAATCAACCTCACATATTCATTCCTGGAGGTTTGAATCTCAGCTTCTTCAGAACTGCTACAAGAAGAGGACAGTAAATACATAACACAAATATATCACATGTAAACATACACTACAACTACACGTGCATGTCATTGCCACATATGTGGCTGTGAATAAGTGTCAGGATGCTTCTATATATATGTTCTCACAGTTAAGGACAGCACACAGAACAGTGGGCCTACATTCAAGTTCAGTTCCTGGCTGAATGACTATGGAAACTACCTAAAAGTTCTTCTGTTCCTCAGCTGTGAAATGGAGGAGATTGTAGTAAGACCTACTTTATAGGGTTGTAGTACCTGCACACAGTGTATGAAAAGCGCTTAGGCTGGTGTCTGTCCTATAAAAGGCTCTCAGTGTTTTCCTTTATCCCTTTTTCACATTCAGAGCAAAAATATAAAGGCAAACAATATTTATATCTCTACTTTTACTTTTACTTTTCTCTCCCCCATTAATTTTTGCAAAACACAATCGTGTATGTTCTCATTTAATGTTCATGGGAACACTGTGGTTCACAAGACTAGCAGTTTGCCGAAGTCCTCTGTCAGTGTCCATAACTCAGCTCCTTCAAGAGCAATTGCACTGTGGTCCCCTCTCTGAGCCTCAGTTTCCTCATTTGTGGATAGAAAGGGAGAACAGAAGTGGGAATTCACAACACAAAAATTAGAGAGGGGCCGTGAGACACCATGTGCAAAAGCAACGCGATGGAGGGAATGACGAGGAGGGGAAGCCAAGGACAGGAAGAGTGAGAGGAGGGCTGTCACTGGAACCACCGCAGCTCCTTCCAGTGTTGGGGGGCCAGCCTCTCTCTTCTTAGTCCCCACTCACAACACACACAAACACCTGTGTCCACTGTAGAGGCAGAATTTTCTCTCCACTCAGGGACACAGGGTGAGCTGTGTGCACAGCCCTTGAAGCAGAAATTTCTCCAGAAAGACTGGCTGCGGTAAAGATATGCGCTCCCATCTCACCATCAGCGAAGGCCAGGCTGCCCTCCTCGTGGTCCATAGAAATGGCCCAAAGTATTGCTTGGAGCCAAGGGCATCTCTTGGGCTTCAAAAGCATCATCTTTCCCTCCAAGCATCAGCACAGCAAAGATTCCTTATGATGAGGTGAAATTGTCTGTCTTTCTCTTCCGTGGTGTCCCTCATGGTACAACCTTTCTCAAGGCCCATCCCCTCAAGAGTAACTGCAAGTGTCTTCTAGAGCTGAAGTCTCTCAGCTCCAGGGGGAGATTCTGGAACTGAAGTGCTGGGAAAGGGTAGGTATGTCCTGTAGGAACTTTCAAAAGCACACAGACCTCAGATTAAAGCACACAGCCTACACCTAGAAGAAATGGTGTAGGTTGGCTGTAGGTGGGTCTAAGGATGGTCCCACTCAGGCAAAGTGGTGGAGGATGACAAGAGAGAGTGCACTAGTTTCAAAATGCCTATTGGAATTGAAGTGCCTCTACAACAGTATTAGGAGATGGAACCTCTGAGAGGTGATTAGGTCATGAACCCGCTGCCCTCGCAGATGGGTTAATACCACTATCTCAGGAATGGGTTCACTATTGGAGGAGTGAGTTCTCAATATAAAGGATGAGCTCACCCAATTTCCTGTCTGTCTCGCACATGGTCACTTCCTTCTGCCGTGTTATTATGCCACATGAAGACCCTCACCAGCAGCCAAGGTCATGCTCTTAGACTTTCTAGAAATAGAAGTCAAATAAAAGTACTGTTTACAAATTACCCATTCTGTGGCATTCTGTTGGAGCAGCAAAAAATGGATCAGCAGAGAACAGGGATAGACACCAGCAGATAAAAGATACAATCCAAAAGGGAAGATGATGATTTCTTGGCTTTAACGCCATACCCTTTCCACCCAGATCCAGAAGAATTCACTTACCTCTCCCGCTCTCCAGCCCCAGCTGAAGACTCTCTGGAAAAAGAAACAGATGGGTTAAGATTTCATCACATGACTTCCAGACACATCTCTAACTCACTTAGTGTTTTGGTCATTAGCCAAAAGCACACATTCACAGTTAAATATGATCAGACACTCACAACCTAAATCCAGTCAGGTCTACAGTCAGGACACCAAACAGAATCCATGTTGGAAATATTCTGCTTTCTAAGATCCAGAAGAATAATGGGTAGGAATGACCCTAGACAGATCATTCACAAAAGAGAACTAGAAAATAAACTTGGAAAAAGAATGTGATCTAACTAGCCATAAAAGACAACAGTTTAAAACAAAAGTTCCACTCTTCATCTGTAAAATTTTCATGTTACACATTCTAACATACATGTTACTACATAGATATGACCTAAGAGACGCACAAGAATTACAAAACGAGCTCTGTCCCACATTGCTAGTGCTAGAATGAATTGCTAGGGGTAACTGAAGCCCACTGGGAAAATAATTCTCGCAGTGTGTAACCGCATCGCTTCAGTAATTCCGTTTTTGAAAATCTAGTCAAATGGGCCATTTCAAACTAAGATTTTCGCACCAAGAAAACCTGGATGCAATTAAGAATCTAATTTTAATGTTCAAAAATAAGCAAAGAGTTTAAAAAAATACTGCTGCAAGGGCTGGGGATTTAGCTCAGTGGCACAGCACCTGCCTGGCAAGTGCAAGGTCGTGAGTTCGATTCCTGGTACCGGAAAAAAATAAAATAAAATAAAAAATAAAAAATCCTGCTGCTGTGAGGATAGGGTAATGACATGAGAACTGTCCATGCCAAGGCACTGAGCAAAGAAAATAAGATTTGGAAGAATCAGTACTGCATCGTTACAACTACACGGGGTCCTGCGCTGCTCACGGGTGCAGGCACACACACAATTTCATTCAGTCCTCTTGGTACTCAGCGAGAGAACGAGAAACAGAGGGTTGAGGTACTGGTACCTGGTCAACAGCAAGTGAGTGGTGAGGGTGAGTTAGGTCTGTGCAGCAACAATGCCACAAAAGCAACCACTGACAATGCCCTGCTATCTCCTTTCCTCCGTCGCAGCTGTTCTTTCCCTCTGAGCAGTTTCTTTCCCTTTCCCAATATCTATTGTACCTTTTGGATCTTATTCACTCTTTCAGGTTCTTACACTAAGGAGATAATATGGTGTTTACACATGTATTTTGATTTTTTTTTTTTTTTGGTATCAGGAATTGAACTCAGTACCTTGTGCTTGCCAGGCAGGTGCTATGCCACTGAGCTATATTCCCAGCCCTGATGTTTACACATGCAAGTCTGATTTATTTCATTTATGAGTATGATCTCTGGTTGCATCTATTTACACATAAAAGCCTTGAGTTTATTTCTTTATAGCTAAGTAGTACTCCCTTTAAAATATATATATATATACACATAAGATAGCTAAGATAATTGTGGTACTAATTTCTATTAATTCACTGAAAAGAACAGTTAGTGCTTATATTGTTTGATCAATTTTGCATACTTATATCTTGTAATCTGAGCAACTACTTTGAAGATAACAATATGTGATATAATAACCATTGTTAATTTCCTATCATCTTGCTGTGAAATCCTGTATCATTTTTATTTTTTTTCTCTTTAAAATAAAAAAGAAACTAAAAGAAGAGGGGAAAGAAGAAAAACACAAACCCCCCCCAAAAAAACCTGGGGAACGAAAGATAAAAATAATAAAAAACAGAAAAAAATTTAAA